CTGGAGTATAATATATATCCACGGGAGAAAGTTCGAAGGGATCCCCAGATCCATGCTGGGTCTCTGCAGTTGTTTGAGTTCTCACTCCAGAGTCTCAGAGTTGGGGAGGGGGGTCACCCCTCTAATGCATGGATCTACAGGGCCCCTCCCTGGAAGTCCCCTCCATCTTATATTTGGTTAGTGACCTTTTCGTTCTCTCTCACACAGCACCTGTGATGGAGAGCCTTCTCCAGTTTGGAGATCCACTTCATGTGATGCTAATGTTAGCAAAGGGAGCAGGTGCTAAGGGGCCACTGAGGCCAAGAGCCAAGGTCAGGGTCATCAGCTGAGCTGGGATCAGAGAGATCTACTGACATACTATCTCAGGGACAGGCAAAATATGTGAGTCTGAATAGCTCCAAGAAGAAGAGACTTATCACAGGGCCTCAGAGGGTTCAAAACCAGTGGGGATCCTGAGGTTAACAAGCCATGGAGAAGCCAGTGCCAGAGCCCAGGAAGTAGGAGTGGCAGGAATCACAGCTGCCTCAGCCCCTCAGCCCCATGGAGAAGCCAGTGCCAGAGCCCAGGAAGTAGGAGTGGCAGGAATCACAGGGATTGTCCCCAGCTGCCTCAGCCTCTGTGGCACAGGACTCTGCATCAACCAGAGGCTGCCCAGGGTGCCGGGGTCAAGAATTCAGGCCCCCAGCCTCTGAAGGTACTAGCACCTCAGGACCCACAGGGCAGCACATGTTGCTGATTCTCCCTTACTCTAGATCTTGTGTGAGCTCTTCACCGGAAAAAGCACTGTGTAACTACTGCTCTGAGGCCAAGAAGGACAGCTTCAGGGGTCCAGCCTCAGCAGCAGAGGTGATGGCTTGCATTGGAGCAAGAGCCCTCCAGCACATCCAGACAGCACGCGCATGTCCCTCTCCGCATTGCCACACAAGGACTGTAGACCATGGCTACCCTGGCTTGGGAAAGCCTCACAGTGAGGTGAGGCTTTCTGTGTGTTGCACAGACCTTTCCCTCTTGCTGTGATAAAATGCTCTAACAAAAGCAGCTTAAGGAAGAAGGGTTTTATTCTGAACACAGTTTGAGAGCATAACCTGTTGTGCAGGGAGTCACAGCGGCAGGAGCTTGGGAGAGCTGGGTGCATCACACCCACACCCAAGAAGACAGAGGATAGCACGCTGCTGCTCAGCTCCCTTTTATGCAGTCTAGGATGGCCTTGCCCAGGGAATGCTTCTTTTCACATCAGTTAAATGCAGTTAAGATAAACCCTTATAAGAAGAGCAGACGCTCATCTCCCGAGTGATTCTAGTCCATCAAGTTGATAACACTAACCATCACAGAGGGTAACTGAGTATAACATTGTGCCTTCTTTTCTCAATGAAAAAATATCCTGCTGGGCTGAAAGCATGGTGGCACATCGTGATCCCAGCCCTGGGGAGGCAGAGGCAAGAGGATTGCTATAAGTTTGAGCCAGCCTGGTCTACATAGTGAGTTCTAGGCCATCCAAGACCATATAGTGAGACTCTGCCTCAAAGACACCCCCAAAAAAGCAAAATTGAAAAAAACTTCAAGAAAGAAAAGACAAAGGAAAAGATTTCCCCTGTAGAATGTTTTGCCTACTTGAGAAATAAACTTGGAATTCTGGACTTTAACACAAACTTAAGCTACCACGTGCAATAGAAAATCGTAATGTGAATGTTTCTTTCTTCTTGTGGATTTCATGGACGTTTGCCCACATGTCATTTAGGTGTGATATTTACATGTATGTTTGCCCATGCTTTTTTTTTTTTTAATGAGTGACACCATCGTCCAAGTCGGTAGATTTAGCGCTTTCAGTCTGTGTCTCTCAAAACTGAATCCCAGGCCACATGTGTTAACTCATGCGAGGTAGAAGCCAGTCACAGGAATGTCTTCTGAGTGCTTTTCTCCATCTCTACTAGTCTTCCTTTGAAATGCCACTCAGCAATCACTCTATGAGTGCTTGCTGTAGGAGGGATGACCACCGTAGGAGGGATGACTGCATGTCTGTCACGTCTTCTCACCTTCCTTACAGAGAGCCTGCCAGAGTCCTGGTTAGCCAAGGCCGAGAGCCTTTCAGCCATTGTATCTGACCCAGAACAAGAAGCCTTGTGTTCTGGCTTGCTGAGAATAAAAGACCACAGAGCACATGTGTGTGCATGAGTGTGTGAATGCGTGTGAGAACGAGTGTGTGTGAACGTGTGTGTGTGCGTGTGTGTATGTGTGTGAGAGTGTGTGTGTGCGTGTGTGTATGTGTGTGAGAGTGTGAGTGTGAGCATGCCTACTGGCCAAAGGCTTTAGAAGGTTCTCTCATGGACTGTTCACTCGTCATGTCCACTCATGTCCTGGTTCCATCTTCATCCCATTGTGTTGTGAATAAAGTCAAGCGCTGCTCCACAGCCCACAGAGCCCAGCATCGTCCGAGTGCACTCAGCATCGTCCGAGTGCACTCAGTATCCCCTGAGCCCACTCAGTATCCCCTGAGCCCACTCTGTGTGTGAGTGTGTGTGTGTGTGTGAGTGTGTGTGTGTGTGTGTGTGTGTTTCTTCTTCTTTTTCAGTACTAAAGATTGAACCCAGGGACTCATACATGCTATGTGCAAGGGCTCTACCCTAGCTATAGCCTCAGTCCTTTTGACCTTTTGAGATTAGGTTTCCTTATATAGCCCAAGCTGGCTTTGAACTTGCTGTTAGCCCAGGCCAGCATTGAACTTTCCATCCTCCCGCCTCAGTCTCCCTGGTACCTGGGATGGGAGCCCTGTGCTCTCTCTCTGGAGTGTTTGTTCAGGTTCTGCCCCAGGTTCTGTCCTCCCTTCAGGTTTGTATCAGTTTGGTGACTCTTAGCTTCCTAAGAGTCACCCCCTTTTGGGTGTCCCTACTTGGTTTTCATCAAGCCATTCCTTGTCCTTTAGTAACAGCTGCTTCAGGTGCCCCTGGACTTGGCTTTGATCTGCCTGCCTCCTGCCCCCTGCCCACCCCAGAACATGAGAATTGGTGGGAGAGAGTCTCAGAGTGGTCAAAGGGCTCCCTGGAACTTGACAAGGACAGGATCTGGCTGTCTTTGCCACAGGGAGTCAACAGAGCCTGGGGCTCATCATCTGGCCCATGTTGTTGCAGTGAAAGGTTCTGGTACTGACAAGATTTACATCTGTGGAAAGGAAAACTCTGAGAGGTCGTACAAGAAGCCCAAGCCCACACAGGTGGCATGGCATGGAGCCGGGGTAAGCTGGAGCGTGTTCAGTGTGCACTTGAGCTCATGTGGCCTCTCTACCCCACCCACTCTGCCTGCACTGACCTGCTCTGCATTAGAAGTTCTAAGAGTTTAATCTGTTCTGAGCTCCCCTAAAGACATTAGTTTAGGAAGCTCTCGCCTGGACCCCATGTCACTTACAGCACTGCACCGGCTCTCTTGTCAAGAGAAGAGGCAGAGGGACGTCACCTGCTGTGAGTCACCGGCATCAAAACTGGGCTCAAGAATCCATTTGCACTGCGGAGGGTGGGTGCAGATGAAGTTAAGAGCCTGCTGCACCTCTTAAAGGGAAATATTTAAATAAGCGGGACCTCGTGTGGATGATGTATTAAGCTCTCTGGAGATGTAAATCACATGACTCCTGACTGTCCTCTAACAAAGTCAATTACATTACACAAACTTCACAATGGCACGGGTCTTTTGCTTCTCCTTGGAAATGTCCATTTCTTCCCTGTTGCTTTTGCCAAGACAGAGACATCCCGACAGGAACAGAATATTCTTCAAACCCTTCCACATTGTTCTACAAATTGGATGAAATTTTAAAGAGTTCAAACAAAAACACATGCCTTATTGTTATCGGCAAGGTGCGGCACGCTGGCAAGCACATCACAGGGAAACGTCTTCTGCGTTCGTTCCTGAAATCATCTCTATTAGATTATGTAGATATGATCTATGAAAATACTTCCAAACCTAATCTGTCGAGACTTCAGAGAGAGTATAAGCAAACACTTAGATTAGCATTAGATTCTTGACTTTGAAATCCATTACTGTAAGTTACTTACTGACTTTGAGGCATAACCTTTTTACCATGGGGGAGGGGAAAGGGCCCCTGGCCGTGTTTAGAGGCCTTTTAAATCTCTCCTGAAAGTCTCCCACCTTCGTCATTAGAGAATTAGCAGCAGGCAGGGGATGGAGGCCTGTGTTGGAATGGTTCAATGGTTCTCTGGAGTTGCAATTTCTAAGACACGTGATTATATTAATTACTTATATAAAATACATATTTATTCTATTTCTAGGACACATGCTATATTGTATCAATGAACTAACTGTAATATATATTTATTATACTTTTAAGACACATGCTACATTGTATCAATTAACTAAATGTAATATATATTTATTATATTTATAGCACACATGCTACATTATATCAATTAATTACATAGTATATATTTATTATATTTCTAGGACACATGCTGTATCAACTAATTGCATGTAATATATTTAATCACTTTATATTTCTAGCTTACATGCTTTTGCATGCTAGAAAAATAAAAAATTGAATCTTTATCCTGCCATTCTGTTTCTTTGAGTCGTTCTACCCGCCATCTCTGGCACACATATATTTTTCAAAGTCAACTGTGGATAAAAACCAAGACCAGGGACCTGATAGAGTCTTCAAGAGCCAGGGTGCCTGCTGCCTCCCTGGAGGGTGTCATCTACAGACTGTTCCTGTCTATGTTCTGCTTTGTTCTGTTTTTAGATATTTTAAATAAACTTCTTTATATCAGACTCAGCAAACTTTCTTCTAAAAGGCTAAACACTAAGTAGTGTGAACTTGGCCAGCCTTGCTGGCTCTGTTGAAGGCGCTCACCTTGACCTGCGTGCTAGGGGAGCCGCCACAGAAGTAGGCCGTGAGTGGGCGTCCTCCAATCAGGATTCTGTTAGGTAAGATTCTGTTCCATTTCCGGGGCCTGCAGTCTTACCATTCTGATTGCTTCTACCTACTTCAACACGTACAGGTCATCCTCAGCTCTCCATCCATATAGGAAACAGGCCGAAGATCAAAGTGGCCCGTGGATTGTAGTCTGTCCATTCCTGCTCTGTGTAAGTAGCCAGAGATACTGCCTTCCTTTAAAAGTTAAGGTTAATAATAGAGCTGTCAAGTATTTCTGTTTCAAAATAAAAGTAGCGCAGAAATTTGGCAAGCAAAGACCTGACGTTAGGGGAATGTTCTGACTTGATAGGAATTGAGCTCCTCAATAATAATTAAAGAAGAGATCGTGGATTTGAGAGGGAGTGGAGAGGGGCACGGGAGGAGTTGGGAGGGGGAAATGGGATGAGTGATATAGATATAGTACTCATGTATGGATCTTCAAAAAAACCAAAATATTAAGGAAAAAATTAAAATATAAAAATTTACCAAGTAGCTCAGTTGGGAGAGTGCTGGTCTGGCATGCATGAAGCCATACATTTGACTCCAGCACCAAATAAACCAAGTGTGGCACATATCTGCAATTCTAGCACTTGGGAGGTGGAGGCAGGAGGGTCAGAAGTTCAAGACCATCTTCAGCTAAGTTGACTGACATAGCAGGTTTGAAGTCAGCCTGGGATGCATGAGACCCTGTATAAAAATAAAATGGGGGCTGGAGAGATGGTTCAGCGGTTAAGAGCACTGGCTGCTCTTGCAGAGGACCCAGGTTCAATTCTCAGCACCCACATGACGGCTAACAACCATCTGTAGCTCCAGTTCCAGGGATCCAACGCCCTCTTCTGACCTCCGTGGCATTGCATGACATGGGTACACTCACATACATGCAGGCAATGCACTCATACAAATAAAATAAAAACAATAAATATTTTTAAAAAGAATATTGCAGTTGACAGTTTTATATATTGCAGTAGTATTTATAAAATGAAGTTCGTGAATGTCACATACATTTTGAATGAAGAGCGAAACATGGCAAATTCTTCCTCCATTTAGAACAGTTTTTAACTAGAGGGATTAAAAAGTATATTTCTCTTTTTACCTTCCCTTCCTTTCTCTACTCTCTTTTCTTTTCTCTCTCTCTCTCTCTCTCTCTCTCTCTCTCTCTCTCTCTCTTTCCTTTTTATACAAGGACTCTCATGGTACCCCAGGTTGGCCTTGGACATATTACATGGCTAGCTTTGAACCTGAGATAGTCCTCCTGTCTCAGCCTCCCAAGGACTAGAATTACATGTATGAGCCACCGTGCCTTGCTCCTGAAAATATATATCTTTTTTAAAAAATTATTTTATGTGTGTGAGAGTTTTACCTGCATGTATGTAAGGACACCAGGTGTGTGCATGCCCACGGAGGTCAGAAGAAGGCATTGGATCCCCAGGAACTGGAGTTATGGACTGTTGTGAGCTATCATGTGGGTGCTCAGAACCAAACCAAGGTCCTTAGCAAGAGCAGCCAATGCTCTTAACTGCTTAGCCATCTCTCCAGCCCCCAAGATGTATTTCTTAATAAAATTAGGACCTCAATCCTATTAACTTGTCCCAACTACAGACACAGAAAAGACAGGAACCTGTGGCCACCTTAGCTGTGACCTCTGGTGGTGTAAGGATGGGCTCTGCTCTGAGCTGCATTGCTGGAAAAACAGCACGGACCTATAAAACCTTTCCTGGTGCTTCTGCTGTGCTTTGGAGTGGTTCCTGGTGGAACCTGACATGGGGCCCGGCTCAGTGACTTTAAGCCAGCAGTCTAGAGAGTTCGCAGCTATAGCAAAATACCCAAGCTGGGGTAATTCTTGAAGAAGATGTGTTCAGTTTGGAAGCTTGCAAATCTAAGGTCAAAGGGATGTGTCTGCTGAGGGACTTTCTATGGTTGAAGTGTTCTGCGGATCCCTGAGGTGGGACCAATGCCCTCAGAGGCCCTCAAATCCCTCTAGATCTCTCTAGACCCCACCTCCAAATACCATCCACTTCCGACTTTGGGGACTGAGCTTGCAACACATGAATTTTGGGGGACAAGCACTCAAGCAGGGAGCAAATAAATGCACCCACGAGCCGAGGCGGACTGAGGAGGGTAAGGGAGTCTGTTCATGCAGCCTGACAGTTAGACACTCTGACCTTGGAACTGACCTTGTTATCTGGGTGTCTTAGGAAGCATAAGAAGCTTCCAGAAACTTCAGCTTTTAAATCCTTTTATATATGAGGTCCCCCTTCCCAGGTGAGGTGACAATTATGTTAGATGATGTGGGGGATGAAAGTGGATGGCCCACTTTGCACTTAATGACTACCAATAAAGATTGCCTTGAATCAGTATATTATCACAAAAGAACCCGCCTACTTAAAAATTAGGTGGAAAGGTCATATGCTTATTTGTAGTAGAATTAACATTTCAGCTCTGCAACAGTTATAGTTCTCCATACGTTACTCAGTGTTGCTTTTGAATAAATTAAATTGAATATGATCTTCAAAATTAATAATTTCAGGCTCGGGAGACGAGAGCTCAGCCACTAAAGTGCTTGCTATGGAAGCTCCAGGACCTGAGTTTGATCCCCAGCACCCACATACGAAAGCCAGGCGTGGTGAGATGCACTTATAACTCTAGTGCTGGGAAGTGGCAATGGATGAAGCCCTGGGGTTTGCTGGCCAGCATACGTGGCAAGCTTTGGGCCACTAAGAGACCCTGTTTCAAGAAAACAAGGTAGGGGGACTGGAGAGATGGCTCAGCAGTTAAGAACACTTGCTCTTCTCCCAGAAGACCACAGTTCTATTCCCAGCACCCATATGGTGACTAACAACTGTCAGTTACTTCAGTTCCAGGGGATCTGACACCTTCTTCTGGCCTTTTCGGGTATTACACACACATAGTGCACTTACATACATGAAGGCAAAACACTCATACACATAAAAAAATAGTAAATACAATATTAAAAAAGATGGACATACCTGAAAAATAGCATTGGAGGTTGATTTCTGCCTCCACATGCACAACATGCAGGTGTGCACTCACACACACAAATACATATATGTACACACACAAATTAATAATGTCTTTAGTTTCTCAGCTAACATTGAAATGTTCTATAGCATATATGTTGGTTTTCATTCCATTTTTGAGCTTTCAATTGTGTGTGTGTGTTGTATTTACATTAAAAACCAATAAATATTTTTATATCAGTATGTGATGCTGTCGACTGGGCTGGGATGAGCAGGGTCCAAGGACATTGGCTACAGGTTCTCGGTTGGCAGGTGTCTGAAAGCCCAGTCCAGGAAGAGGTAAGGGTGCCCGGCAGAGGGTTTAGCCCCAAAGGAGGTTGAGGAGCCCCTTGAGTGTTTGAAAGGGGCCAAAATGTAAGTTCACTTGGACTAAGGAAAACAGAGAGCTTGTGCAGGTCTTTGGGGGAATAAAAGTCCTTGAACTTAGGAGAGAACTGCTTGAAGCCAGTTTCTATTGCTTGCTGTGCTGCCCCTCTTTACCCCTCCCTGTTGATGCCTCAGTGACAGCTGAGAGAGCAGAGGGAAGGGATCAGTGTCCAGCCTGACTTACATGCCCTGGATTGAATCACTGACAGGCTTACCTCTGCAGCCCCCACCACCCAAATGGGTTCATCCCTGACCAGTCACCTTGCAAAATGGGGTCAGTGTAGCAACGTCCCAGGTGAGTGGTGAGAAGTTAAGTGCCAGGCCGTGCAGAGGCTTCTCCTCTCCTCTCAACCCATAGGGAAAAAACTCTCCATCAGGGGATAGAAAATGCCTTATAAAGTGAGCTATGGAATCACGTGTGGTTTCCTTACAAAATTAAGCTAAATATTTCAGTTGCTCTTTATTTGCAGAAATACATTCCAAGACTTGTGGGTGCCTGCAACCTTGGATCATTCTGAACCCTACTTAAACTTCATTTTCCCCCATACATAGATTCATACACACATACCTATGATAACTTCCAATTTATAAATTAGGCACAGCAAGAAATGAATACCGATAACTAATAATCAAACTGGACACTTTTAACAGCATAGTGTACTAAAATTGACTCTTACATTTCAGGGTCATTATTAAGTTAAAATAAAGGTGACCTGGGCACTGCCCTGTGACACTGCAAGATGGCTTCCCCAGGACCTACCATGGAGATGCTGGACAAAGGCTCAGACCATGTTCAGGGTGAGATAGGACAGCATAAGATTTTCATCACACTGCTTAGAGTGGTGCATGATTTAAAACCTATAAATTGTTTTTTTCTGGGATTTTCCATTCCATATTTTAAAATATTTTATTTATTATTTTTACTTTACGTGTATGCGTGTATCGCCTGCATGTAGATAAGTGCACCCATGTTGTGCAACACCTGCAGAGGACAGAAGAGGCTGTCGGATCCCCTGGAACTGGAGTTACGGACAGTTGTTAGCTGCCATGTGGGTGCTGGGATTCGAACCCGGGTCTTCTACAAGAACAGTGTTCTTAACCGCTGAGCCATCTCTCCAGCCCCTTATTCTATATTATTTTAAGTACACAATTGACCCTGGGTCACTGAAACCTTGAAAAAGGAGGGACTCTGCATTTCTTGTGCTTTGTGTAATCTGTTTCTATATTTGTAATGGAGATCAAACATGACTTGCTGTCTCATTACACAATTACAACCGTAGTTTTCCGATTTCTTTGCTCAGGAGTGAACTAAATGTGAATTCTACGGAAACAAAAACCATACACTTTCTAATCCAATTTAGTGGTTTTAAACTCTGATGTTAAAATGTCACCAGTGTGTATTGACCCTGACCCTGTGTTTGCACAAGGAGGTGTGGTTTGAAAGTAATTTTTGAGGGAATGTGATGAGGAGAATCCAAAGGCCTCCCAGGAAGAGGGAAACTCCCTTCTCCCTCTCAGATTCAGATCGATTATAACATCTCAGTGACTGTCCCACTTGGAAAATCTGGGAGTTCTCAGTAGACAGGTCTTGTTTGAGAAAGCTTCGGAAGGTTGTGGTTATAATAAGTCCTTTGCTCTCACTTGTAAAGATTTCTGGTGCTATGTGGATCAGAAGCTTCTACTTTGAGAGCCTGGGTTGGAAAAAAAGAGGAAAGCACAGCTCTCAAGCCTCTCCCTGAAGCTCTTTAGTGAGCACCGCGGACGATGCCCGAGGAGACAGGACTGAGTTTCTGCCCTAGACAGAGTCGTCTTGAGCCTTTGGTCCCTCGGCATTCAAGGCTCCGCCCACCTCTTCTTTCTGTAAGCCCCTCCCCCAGATTAGGGTGATCCTGCCATATCCCCACCTGGACATTCCCAGCCAGCCCAACGTTCTGAAAGTCCCACCTATTAAAGAGGAGTGCTGAAAGCATGTGGCCTTGCCTTTTGAAGCTTCTCCCATGGGTCTATCTTTAGTCTAAAGTTTTTTTTTTTTTTTTTTTAACTTCTTCAGTTCTTGTAGAGGCTTGTGGTCCCATAGAGCTGGAGGACTGGAAGCTTTTCCAAGGCAATAGTTGAGGTTAAATGTTGGGGTAAGTGCTTGCCCAGCACACATGTAGTCCTGGGTCCATCCCCAACACTGCAGGAGAGAAAGAACAGTAGAGGTCTCAGAGCAAGTGGTGCTCACGGCCACTTTCTGCTGGTGTGATGCCGTGAGACGTACTGGAGACACCCGCTGGTGGTTTCTTCAAATCACTCCTCCCCTTCTGAGGCACAGTCTCTTCCATGTGACCACAGAGCTGTCCATCTGTCCCGAGGGCTGTCCTGAGGGCTGGGGTCCAGGAACAGGATGATAGTCAAAGACATTCTAAACCTAAACCAAAAAAATCATGAAAAATGACTCTGAGGTTATACTTGTTACTCTGGAAAGATATTGAAGATGATCCAGTACACCCTAATCCTCCAAAGCTCCCACTGTGAGCTCCCTCCTTGAACCTCAGCTCTCTTTGGGGCCTCTCCTTTGTCAACCAGCCAAAGAAGACACTGGCACCCTCCCTCAAGCTCTGGGTCTGGCTTCACCCACCCATCATCATCCTTTCCTCACTGTGCCGTTCATCCCAGGGTTCCTGAGAAAGGGCCTTATTCTTCACCTGCCAGGAATCTCTTCCCTAAGCCATCTCGCATCTTGTCAGCTTCTCTAGAACTTTCTCAGCCCACACCCCGATCCTTTATCTCTGAGCTCCTGAATCCACCTACTAGAAACTTTTAGGGCGTTCTAAGCAGGAGGCCCACTGCCTGGGAAGACCAGTCTCCTCTCTTCTGGCCCACCACACTCCACACCTTCCTCTGCAGTGAAACAGCCTCTTACACACTGGATATCTGTGAAGTGCTAGCCACAGCCCCTCTACCCTGAACGGTGTCCAAAGTGGGAGAGATGTTGAAGAGACGACAAGGGGGTACCAGTTCATGGAGAATTGACTTCTTAGATTGTTGAGTCAGATCACAGCTCACAGTCACACTAACCAAGGACACAAATATGGAGGTCGGAGTGGCAAGAGACTATTTTCTTCAGTCCTTTTGGCTTCCAGCCTTATCCTCATTCAACACTGCAAACACTGGAGAAAGAAGCCCTCAGCTATTGCAAACATTGGAGGAAGAAGCCTGAACTACTGTCAGGTGTGAAGGCTGTCTGGCTCAGGGGCAGCTGGTGGAGAAATCATCAGGGGTGCAGTTCAGAGCCTTCCTCCAAATCCGAAGTGAGGTGAGGAGCGAAGGACGGGAGCCTTAGTGTCAAGGACCCCGGCTGAGAGGCACTCTCCCACCTGTGGGAAATCCCACAGTGCCGTTGAGTCCATTTTTTCTTGGGCATAAAAAGAATGATCTACCATCTTAGGTATCATTCATTCACTTTAAATCTCAAGATATTCCACACTATGCAGAGGGTGCTCTTTAAAGATACCCATCCAGTGCTTGGATGGATGCTTAAATCACTTCCTGAAAAAATACACTGTGGTTTCACAGGAATTTTTAAAACTCATCTCCACAGCTAGCATCCTAAGAGACACTTTAGGCATTGGTTCCTCTGCGGGGGGGAAGCCACGTCACCTGCGACCCTTCCCTCAGTCCTAAGGTTTCCTTACAGGGTCCGCTTCCTCTCCTTCCAGTCATGACAGCAACAATCTATTCCCGGTCGGTCGGTCGGAGCAGATCACTAGGAAACGCCACTCAGAAGCTCCCCTCTATTGATTCAGTTTGGTAGTATTGGCAGCTTAAAAAGATTATGTTTTAATTGGGGACCAGATAGATGGCGTTTTAAGGTTTTGAGTTTCGCTTCGTGCCACGCTATGGATTATTTGAGAGGTTGTTCAACACAAGGAGGACAAAGATTAATGTGTTGTCCTTTTCTTTGGGTGACCCTGGGTGCAGATGTAGCTTGGGCTAAAGTGACTGAAAATCTTTTTCTATCACAGGGCTGAAAAGGTTGACTGTGAATTCATTAGAGTTATCTTTGTTTAGGGTATAAAATCTATGTATTAAATGGCTAGAATGGAGTGTGAATTTTTTTCTCCAGCCTAAGAAAGCCTCAAGCGGCTGGAAGAGAATGGGATGCTCAACTGGACCAGGGTAAACAATTTAAGAAGCGTTGACATGGGACTTAGAAGCTGTTGCTTTGGAATTTTAGCGAAGGACAAAGCTGGTAGTTTAGCAGGGCATTGGATGACTGGAGGATTCCATGGCACCTTTCAGTTTGGGAATGAAAACGCAGCACTGTCATAGAGCATTTATTCAGAGCTGGGAGCCCAGGGACACCATCGTGTGTAATTGATGAAGCAAGTCGCACACTCCTAAGTTGTTATATCAACCTTGATCTGGAGCTGAAGAACTAGGAACAGAGAGACCAGGCCACTTGCCCACGGTGGTAAGGGAAGTGGAAGCAGAGGAACCATGAGGTCTGGCTCTCCTGAGAACCTTGGCTCGTCCTTATCTACATGGATGTCCTTGGTGTGTGTGAGGGGGGTGAGGGATGAAATTGAGATATAAAAAGAATGATCTATGGTCCTAGGCATCATCATTCACTTTAAATATCAAGATCTGGGCATGGAGAGATGGCTCAGCAGTTAAGAACACTGGTTGTTTTTGCAGAAGATCCTAGTTCGAATCCCAGCACCCACATGGCAGCTAACAACTGTCTGTAATTCCAGTTTCAGGGGATCTGATGGCCTCTTCTGTCCTCACAGGCATTACACGACACGGGTGCACTTACCTACATGCAGGCAATACACTCATAAAATAAAAACAACAAAATATTAAAAAAGAATCTCAGGATCTTCCACAGGGGAAGGTATTGTGTTTCACACTAGGATGGTCATTGCTGTCAGATTGGTTTGCTGGACATTTTGTAGCCCAGCAGAATACACTGAGTGGCCTGAAGGATGGACAGGTGTTTCATACAATTCTGGATGCTAAGCGTCCAAAGTTGAGGTGAGGACAGGGCTGGCTCCTACCTGGGAGGGCACTCTGTTTCACGCCTCTGGCTCTGCTTCCAGTGGTTCCAGGCAGTTTCCCTGACTTGTAGATCTTATGACTCCATTTCTGCCTTTGCATTTATAGGGTATTCTACCTGAGGCTCTGTGTTTGGATTTTGCTTCTAGAAGAATATTTATCATAGGGGTAAGTAAAGACATCATCTTAACTTCATGATCTGTAATGACCACATATCAGTTACTTTTCTTGCTGCTGTGACAAAATACCTGGTGGAAGCAACTGAAGGAAGGAAAGGTTGATTTTTGGCTTATGGTTTGAGGGCATAGTCCTTCATGGTGGGCAAGCATGGTGACAGGACCCTGCAGAAGCAACCCCAGTCTCCGCATCCCCATACAGGCTGTGACTACTCCAACCTCCTACTTTAAAAATATTCTTTTCATTCTTTTTATTTTATGTGTATGAGTGTATTACCTGCATGTGTGTAAGTGCACCTGTGTTGTGCAGTGCCTGTGGAGGCCAGAAGAGGACACTGGATCCCCTTGAACTGGAGTTATGGATGGGTATTAGCCACCACATGGGTGCTGGCCGGAGAAGCTCCATTTTGGAAACTCCATCTTAAGGAAGTAACCCTGAGCTGAATTCTCCCCTACCCCCAGTTCTTGTAAATCATTTGACCTTCATTGTAAGACCACAGGGTAACAAAAGCAGGCTTTGCAAAGCCCCTGGCTGATGTCTCCACCTGCTCCTTCTGGCTTCTGTGAACTTGTTTATCCCTGTGTCAGGAAGGGAATGGGATTGTTAACTCTTTGCAACTTCAGCAGAGCGATGTTGCCACACAGTCGCTGTAACTGTTTACCTTGTGCCCCTGCTTGTTTGTTCAAAAAGTTGGGAAATGTCTTGTTTACCTAATCTTTAAACAATGTATCAAAGCTGTGACCCCTGCAAAAGCCCTCTACTGGGGACCCTGCAATTGTACAACTGTCATGAGATGATTAACATCGCCTGCTTTGAGTAATAATACCCCCACCTGGAAAGTCCTCTTGCGTTTTTTGTTTTAAAAGGTAGCTCCCCACTCCCTCAGGGCTGCAGTCCTTATTCCTGAGTAGCTTGAACAAAACTTTGAATTAAAATCTGACCCGGTGTCTGGTGGTCTTTTCCTGGTGGTCCTGAACTCTGTAACAGCCATGTGGATGCTGGAAATTGAACCTGCAAGAGCAACCAGTGCTCTTAACTGTGAGCCATCTCTCAAGCCCTCTGACCTCCTACTTTTGAGGGACTCTCAGTGAACTCAAGGGCCGTCCTCTGTCCAGCTTCGTCTGTGAATCACTGGACTTCCACTGGCAGCTCAGGAAGTCCACCTCAGCTATGCAAATAGGCAGATGGCCGCCATCTTGCCTCCCTCTCCCTGTTCTTTCTTTTGAACGCTCAGGTTGTCTGCTTTGTCTGGTCACCTGACGGTACAGTCCTGTTACAGCGACATGCTTCCTGGACACATTTCTGTGAATCTGGAAGACCTGGTACATAAGCATTTTCTGAAATACTCCTCAGAAATGACTGCCTTTTTGACACTACTGAGTGTCTGCAGTGCATAAGGCCTACATGAAGCCCAACAGAGAGGAGGGGGATGGTAAAAGTCATTTTCTACAGTTCAAGCCTTGTGGCTCAAGAAACAGCTAAGCAGAACAAGTTATTTATTTAGAATTATCTGTAGTCATGGTTGGTTTCCACCCTCTCAGAGTTTATATGACATTTATATAATGTATTTAATATAATTCTGCATTTACATGAGTTTGTCTTGTTTGTACTCATATATTTATTGTGAGCATTGCAATATGCATCTGATTAGTTTAAAAACAACATTCATGGAAATCCTTTTGCAACAAGAGACACATTAGACATTCAACCTTGGAATGTGCTTACTTTATATTATAACTTCAGAGGGTTGAGAGACGCTCTGTCCATTTGCAAACTCTCAGAGCAGAGAGGTGCTTAAAGATTCATCAGCATAGAGTTCTGATTTCACATACAGGAATGGTTTGAAGAAGAGAAGTGGTCTGCTCCTGGTGTGTGAAGACTCAGGCCTCATGGTCCCTAGTTCAGCCTAGATACACATACATATGCCCCTATCTTGAATTCACAGCCAAATAAGAGCAGCTTCAGGCTTTATCTTCCCATTTCAACATCAACTTTGCCATATTCTATTCATTGTAATTTATTTAATCCATCCTCACAACCATCAGTACCACTATCACCATCCTTACCACCAACATCATCATCGTCATCATCCTTACAACCATCACCACCATCCTCATCATCACCACCATCCTCAGCATCCTTACCACCATCACCACCATCATCACCAACCTCACACTCCTCACCATCCTCTCCTCTTCATCACCACACTCATCACAATCCTCACCACCATCATCTTCACCACCATCACCATTACTACCACCATTATCATCATCATCACCACGCTCATCACTATCCTCACCATCCTTACGCTCTTCACCGTTATCATCATTATCACCACCACCATATCACCACCGTTACCATCACCATCACCATTACTAACATCATTTTCATGACCATCACTTTTACCATCATCACCATCAGATCTAGTTATTAAGCAACTTCAGCACCTAAAAAGTCCTCCATCCTTCTGCCTCAGGAGCCTCTAAAAGTCCATGACTACACCCATTCCGCCAATCTCTTTCAGATACATTTGTATCTTTGTTCCTGGATCCAGATAAGTATGACTTTGTTACTTTTAGTTAAGAATTTTTTAAAGGAAATGGGAAAACATAAACTTAAAAGCAATAAAACGATGATGACTTTGCCACCCAGTGTGCAGTGGGTTTTGTCCTACCCATCCCTGCCCATGAACACATGTGGTTTTTATGGTCCAGGCCATTTTCTATCTTGTCATTTGCACTTACTTGCCATATGCATTTTCCAGGTTGGATGAAATTCCCAGCATTTGCTTTAATTGTGGGAGAACACACATAACAGAATTCACCACTTTGGTCATTTAAACTGTGTTTCAGTGGCATAAAGTGTACTCCCTACCATCCATCCACAGGATGCTTTTCATTTTATAAAAATGAAATTCTGTATCCATTTAATTCCCTGTTGTCGCTGTCCCCAGCCTCTGGCAACCACCATTTGCTTTAGTTTCTCTGAATTTGGCTTCTTTATGTAGCTCTTGTAAGTGGAATCATTATTTATCCTTTTGGCTGGCTTACATTATGGAGCATGGTATCCTCGGGTACCAGGATTTGTTCCCTTTTAAAGACTGAATCATATTCTAGTGTATGGATTGATCCCATCCATCTGTCAAGATCCATCATCATCATCATTATTATTATTATTATTATTATTATTATTTTGGTCTTTTTGAGACAGGGTCTCCCTGTAGCCCCAGCTGTCCTGGAACTCACTATGTAGACCAGGCTGGCCTTGAACTCACAGGTGATGGATTGCTAAAGTTGTTTACCTAAGACTAGGATCAAGCAAAGTTTGATCATTCATGCATCCATCAAGTCTTTGAGTACACACATCGGTAAAATGGCATTTAGATGAGATACAGTTCCCTCCCCAGGGTCTCGAGAGCTATGGGGCAAGCTCATGACCAGTTCAACTCAGCACGGGACTACAGCAGGCAGTTTTCCCCATTTTTCTCCCCACTGTGATTTTTTACTTTCTTTTAGACTGCTTACCTCTACCTGCATCTTCAGCAAAGGCACAGATCTGGCACCACCAGGCGCCTTCACCCATTTCACCCTGTGACTCATCTGGCTGGCTGTGAAGAACAGAGTATGGGTCGTCGGCCTGGGCAAAGCTGCGATCCTGATACACCTCCTCCTCCTCCTCAGAACAGCAATGGGAGCTAGACACACGTTTGTCACTGCAGAGGATTACTTCCTGCCGTCCCTGTCCCTACTGTCTGTAGTGGCTCTAGTGACATGTGCTAGGATGATGAACCCCATCTAATTTCACTAATGCATTGCTTTCCGCGGGCAGACCCAGCCCAGTCCCATTCAAAACGAGTTGAACTCAGCCATCACTTACCATAAGGAATCACATTAAATGCTAATGGGCACCACAGACCCTCCGCAAGGCTTGCTGAGTGATGGGTTGTCCTCAGAGGGAGCTGGTGATGGCTTCTGTTCGAATCCAAATGAGGTGACATGCTCAGCTCCCTTGACTCGAGGTTTCAGTGGGTTTTCTGTCAGTTCCCAAAACAAATGGCTCTGTGTACAGGAGGCCTGGCTGGACTTTGCTCTACATACTCTTTCTTTTAGAATCCTCTGGAATATTCATATAATCTCTTCACTGCCCATCTGATGTTGAGCAGAAAATTTAAGGTGGTTCGTCTTCTGGGTATGCAGCTTTCTTTCCAACTCTCCTTCCTTCCAGTTGTTGAGTGACAGCCTGGTATGGGACATGTCTTCTTCATTCAAAACCAAATCAGGTGAATCCACAAGAGAGGAGCAGGCAGCTGGCTTTGGAGATGAGGGGCTCCTTTCTTGTTTTCTTTGAGGCAAGGCCTCGCCGTGTGACCCAGGCCAGGCTTCAACTTAAATTCTCCTTCCGGAGTGCTGGGATTGTAGCGTTCTCCATCACCTCCGGCTTGGGTTCTTTCTTTTCTTCTCTCCCAGTGGGGCCTCTCTAGGGAATCCGACACAGAATTTTTCTGGCTCTTTCTTACCTTATGCCAAGCAAGCTAGAAAAGCCTAGAAGGTGCGCATGTAGCCAGGAGAGGTCTCCGAGAGAAAACCAAATGTTCATGGATACTGGGAGTCTGACTGACAAGTTCGCTATTCTGTGCACCAGTGAAACAGTCCCAAAGACCAATGTGTGCTGGGGCAGATTTCATGGACAGAGGATGATTCTGAGGTCTGGCTTTTTCAGGAGGGTGCACAGTCTCCCTGAAGCCTCTGCGGGTCAGGCAGCTTCCAGAGTGAGTGAATGGGGAGTGCGGGGGGGGGGCCCTAGAGGCTTCACAAGGCCCTTACTCAGGAATGGGAACAGATTATTAGGATAAGGACAGGAGGGCCAGGAAGTCCGGGGAGGAGCAGAAGAAAGATCAGCTGCCAGTGAGATCTTAAAGTACCCACGAGGAAGGAGGAGAGAGTCCCATGGGGCCAGGAGCAGATCAAGGAGGCGGGATGCTTTATTATCACTTGCCCTGGAGTGTGACTTGAGCCTCCTTCAAGCTTTTTTAAGAGGTCAGGGGAAAGGCTGAAATTTGTGTTTAATCATCTCTGGCTGTCAAACTGTTGTTTATTCAAAAGCTACTACATGCGGAGACCTTCATTTGACTTCATTTGAGTTAAGAGCTCTGTGTGCAGTGATCGCCATAGTTTTTGCCAGGGCTGGTCTGTCAGGGCTGCTTTCTCAGTCAGTCCCTACCACAGACCTTTAAGCTCAGTAATATGAAGATTTGCAGTCTCAAGCTGGGTGTGCCGGCACATGCCTGTAATCCCAGCACTCAGTAGGTAAAGGCAGAAGGAACAGGAATTCTAGGTCACCCTTGGCTACATAGGGAGCTTGAGGCCAGCCTAGGCGCCATGAGATCTTGTCTCAAACAAAACAAACAAACCAAAACAAAACAAAAAACAAGGGGGCTGACAAGATGCTCAGTGGTTAAAGCACTTGCCTTGCAAGCAAAAACTTACATGCTCACCTGTAATTCTAGCCTCCGAGGCTGGAGACAGGTTCCCCAGAGCAAACTGGCTAGCAAGAGTATAGATTAGCTCTGGGTTTGATTGAGAGACCCTGCCTTAAAGAATACAGTGAAAGAGCAATTGAGAAAGATTCTTGACATCAACCTCAAGCTTCCACAAGCACAGTGGAGCATGCACACAAGCACACACATGTGTACCCACATACTTCTAGCCTCCGAGGCTGGAGACAGGTTCCCCAGAGCAAACTGGCTAGCAAGAGTATAGATTAGCTCTGGGTTTGATTGAGAGACCCTGCCTTAAAGAATACAGTGAAAGAGCAATTGAGAAAGATTCTTGACATCAACCTCAAGCTTCCACAAGCACAGTGGAGCATGCACACAAGCACACACATGTGTACCCACATACACACAAACGTGTGTGTGTGTATTGTATGGATATATATATATATACATATATATATATAAAATAAAAATAAAGTCCTGTCCACACAAACAAATAACAAATAAACACTCCAAACTAAATCAATGATGTTAACAATGCCCCGAGCATCAGAGAGGCTAGGGGGAAGGGACTCAGCCCAGGCCACACAGCTGGGAGTCTTCACTTGGTCCTGGGGTGATCATTGTGTTTCAGGTTAACAGACTGAACTTGAGAGCTGGATGGGGTCTGTTTGGAAGAGATCTGGGATCCTGCTCTAGAAAAAAGACCTTCAAACAGTGGCTGATGAACCCTAAGGGTTTCAGCCAGTTTGGCTTTGCCTATTCAGGGTGCATGACTGGGCACAGCACCTCTTCAGTGGTCAAAGGAGATGGCTACCATCTTTCCACCTGGCTCTCGGTCATTCTAAGCTGGGAGAATTAGAGTTGAGTATCTGAAGATAATTGCTTTTAATTACAATTGAGCTTCCTTAGCAGTGTGGCATCCCGGGAACAAAGATGCCCCTGTCAAACATGGCCACCTGCACCACATGTCTCTCTGGAGCTTCTAGAATTCTGAGAGTTGTAAGCCTTACTCTTTAAAGCAATCACCCCTGTAATGAAGCTCCTTCTGCCTGTCTCCTGCCCCAACCCCCTCATTCTAGAACATGGGAACATCTTAAGGGAAGGAGTCTATCTGCTCCTGTCCCGTGTACTCCAGGGAGCACCCTTGCAAGCTCTGCATCCTTAATGTCAGAGCTAATCCACACCATGCTCACCTGTGTACACTGGATTGCAGCCATGTGGGTTCATAATCTTTCAGTCAGGAGTGGATAGATGCAATGCCATGGGGTGTCCCCATAAGACTACGTGAAGCTGAAATACTTCCTGTCACCCAGTGATATCGTAGCACAACCAGAACTCCATAAGGTCTCAACTCCTGACTCAGAATCCAGACCTTGTGGAAGGTTCCAGGCGGAGGTTAAGGCTGGGGCCACTGCTGGTGACTTGGAGGGTCTCCAGTGGCAGGAAGGTATCTCACCCCACTGCTCTTGGCATCAGGAGTGCATACAACTGCCAGATCCTATTGGCACTGGCTGGTCACATCAGCTGCTGGGCGTCAGATGGCTTCAGCTTCTTCAGAGGACAGAGGGTAAGCCCACAGGCCTCTTTGCCCAACCATTGGCTGCAGTGCTGTTCTGTCAGGGCCATCCTCCTACGTCCTCAGGAACCCACAGAAGAGCCCTCCCTTGACCTCCTACAACATAAAGTATATGGGTCAGGTGACCTTAAGGTTCCTGAGTGACCAGGCAGGGTCAGGTCTCTCACATGCTGCTGTCTGGCTGCAGGCTGGCTTCCTGTCTGTCTCTGGAACCGACAGATTTCCTGGAGCTTGGCCTGGGCTGGTGGCAATGCTGGGCCATCATGGTCCCTTGCCAGAAATAATTTCTCACGTTCAAGCCCCCAGTGCCAGGAGGAGTGAGTCAGTGGTGCTGATGCAGAAGGGAGAGGATGCTGGCACCATCCAGCATGTCCTATAAGCCGCATCCCCAGCATGCAGATGTGATCTGGCTACCTTCTACACACCTCCTCCCTGATGTCATCATAGCTGGCTTAGCCTACTGTGTCTCACACCCCCTGTCACGAGCAGGTCTACACTCCGGCACCTTCTCTCCCTCGTGTTTCTCTGTGGTTAGTTCTAAACGTGTGTAATATCTTCCTCCCACAATCCTTCAGGACTCAAGATCAGTCTCCTGCAGCCAAAGGGCTGGTTAGTACCTTAGATGCTTTCTGTGATTCTGTTGTTCTCTTCAGTAAGCACTATGCCTATGCTCCCTATACATTCTGGGTCCTTCCTGTGGAGTCTAACAGCCAGTGTCTGTAAAGAATCCAAGGACACTTGTTTCTGGTTACAGGCAGCTGGAATGCACACAGCTATCTGCTTGGCCTTCTCTTCCATCCACTCCACAATAGTCTCTGGAGGCCCAACAGATGTAAAGTCACTGCCAGGCATGATGGCACATGCTTTTAATTCCAGCCCTCAGCAGGCAGATCTCTATGAGATCGAGGCCATCCTGTTTTGCAAAGTGAGTTCCAGGCCAGCTGAGGGTACAGGGAGACCCTGTCTCAAAACAAACAAACAAACAAACAAACAAACAAACAAACAAAGAGACAAACAAAGCCAAACAGACGTAAATCTACAAGGATCCATGGAAGAGGTTGGAGAACAGCATGTCTGTGCACATCAATAAGCAGACAGGCATGGAGATGCTTTGCAACCCTGAGGAGGCCAGGGAGAGCGAAGGGCAGTTCCCGAACTGTGCAGGTGCCTCAAAGGCTTCAGGAGTCAGGGATGGCATCTCGGGGCTGGAAAGACCATGACGCTGAACACCGGGGTTGTGACTGAGGAAGGAAGAGTCATTTGAGAGAGGCAGCTCTGCTTTGAGCCATTTCTGGGAAAGATTGCAACAGGGCATCCCCAGGTGACAGTGAAGAGACGGTACTTGTGGAAAAGAGGAAGAAAGAGAAGTTTTACTTCCCATGGGAGCCTGTAGATTTCTCCTCCCACAGCACCAGGAATCCTTCCCACTGTGGGTGGGGAGACTTTTCCAGAGCAGGTCACAAGCCCAGAGGCTGGAGGTATGGACACTGGGGATTCAGAGAGCAATGCACCCAGCCCTCCCACCCTGGTCTGGAACTTCCAGCTCCTGCCCAGGATATCACTCTGAATAGTCAGTGACCATGGAGGCCACTGAGGAATGACACCCAACCTTGTCCTTTGACCTTTACACAAATGAGCACACACACAGATATGCACCTGACTCTCTATATATGTTTCTTTTTATTTTTAAATTTTTCTTTTTTTGTGTGTGGTGTGCATGTGTGTAGGCATACAAGGTTTTGATTGTGTGTTAGTGTACTGCATGGGTGGGAATGTGTGTGTACACAGGGATGCGGAGACCCCAGGCCCAAGACTGATATTAGGAATCTGTTAAGGTTCAGGTAGCCCTGCCTCCTCACCAACAGGGTCTCAAGGACTTAAGCTCCTGAGAAAAGGGAACTGAGCTGATAAGCACCCTGGTCTTTGAAGTCAAGAGAAGCAGATTTTTTTCCACTGTTTGGTCAACACAGCAGGCTTCCCCTTTGATCTCTAAAGAAGACAGCTTTTAACAGTCCTGCTCTCCCACTTCCCCCACCCAACTTAAAAAAAAAAACAACACATCTTCCTGCCTTCTACAGGAAGCAGAAGCCTCCCCTTTTAAAAGACCCCAGCTCATGACCCGGGCAGACATTTTCCCTGCTCAGAAAGGAATCTGTCCCATGTGCTCCTTTGCTAATAAACTCTATTCTGATGGAGTTTTATCTGTGCCCTGGTGCTCTCTCCTGATCAACCCTACTCGTCATACGGCTACTTTATTTGTCATGTGGCTACTTTGACTACCAGATGGTGCCAAAACCTGGTTCTTACTTCAAGGGACCTGCCTGGGCTTCTCCAATGCCACTAATCTGGCTTTCAGCATACCTTCTGTCTACAAACTAAGAAATGCTGACAATTTGGCTTCGCATTCACAGCTACAGTGGCTGGTGTAAATGGAGCTGACACTTTGCGATGACTAGACCTGTGAAGCACATGGAAATTTGCTGTACTCCAGGGTCAAAACCTTACAAGAGACAAGCTACTACCAGCACATAGTTACAATGAGAGGTAAAAAGTAATAGTCTACTTGAGTGAGAGGCTTGAGATGCCATCTCTATTGGTCTTAACTCCTCCCCTTTCTACATTGTGATTCTAAGCCCGTTTTTCTCTGAAATAGAGTTATTTCCCTCTCTGATACTCAGATGCTCTATGTTTGCTTATATTCCTGCCCCATCATTCCCTGAGTGCTTTCTAGTTATAATGTTAGGGTAATATTAATTATATTGGTAAATTGTCACATGCTGTTTGAGCTCACTAAGATACTGACTCTGGAGATGGGATTGGCCCTCCCACTTCAGACTCAAGCCTATTATCTCAAGTTGTGTTCCCTAAGACTTTTCCAGGTTCAGGCTGGCCCCCTGACCCTGTGACAAGGAGAACAACAAAACAGCCTGAGAATAAAGGCACTGTGCAGTTGAGAACCGCTAAGGTGTAACTTAATTTCAACAAAGGGTATTACTGACTAATGAAACTAGCTATTGGAATTATTTTCAGTACTATTTAGATTTTCTTTATTCTTAACCTTGTCTGTTAATGTTTCCTTTTGTCTTTCCTGTCTCCTACAAGGTTTTATTAACTTCCTTCAGTTATTTAGCTCTTAAAAAGGAAAAAGATGCTACCTCAAATCTATATGGAAACTTAACTCCTTTTTTAGACCACTAATTACCTATACAAAATAACATCTAAGCTGGTTGAGTAAAATCCTATTTGTTAAATACAATTTTTATTTTTAGTTTACTTTCGCTGTGTTTTAAGATGTATTCATTTTGTTTGTCTACTTCAAAGGTGTTTTGGTTTAAAAATGATAAGCCACATTCTCAACAAAGATTATATAATTAAATATGTATACACAGTCAATATAAATTTATGCTTCTTAAAATTAATTTACTTGGTATCATATTAATTTTTTGACTAAAATCTCATATAAACTAAAAATGTTAAATTAACACCAACATATTTTTTTCAGGCCAAAATATTCTCTCTTTAATCTACAACATGATTCCTGGTACCAAAATATGTAAGTTAATATTAAGTACCTCTCTCTCTAGCTCTCTCTCTCCCTATCTCTCTCTCTCTCTCTCCCTCTCTCCCCCTTCCTCTCTCTCTCACCACTGCCCTTCTGGGGCTCTACTAAACCTCTACTAAACCACCACCCTTCTGGGGCTCATCTTCCCTCAGCCTCTACTAAACCTCAGGGTCAACTTGTTCCACAAGCTCCCCTCCCTTCTGGCTCACTGCATTTTTTCTGCTTTTCTCCCATCCCATTCCTGTACTTTGTCTCCATCTACTGTTTGGTCACGCCACGCTCTCATTGCAGGGTTTTCCGCTCCTCTTACTTGCCTTGAAATCACACGTGTGTTGGAAAACCCTTTCCTTTCTCTGGGTATAGGACTCTATTTCCAGAGATAGGAACACACACTACTTCCTGTCCAGGACAGGATCTTGCCTTTCCTCTCCCTGATGATCTAATTGCAGGATGACGCCTTCTGGGAATTGGAAATAACTCGAAAATAACTCAAACCTGCACAACAAAAAAAAGGATGCTTTCTTTTGGTACTTGGTTCTCCTTGCTTTCGTTTTGCATGGCCGATGCCAAACCCCTTCCTCTCCTACTCCCTCCCTATCTCTCTCTCTCTTCCTCATCAGCTGCACTTTCCTTCCCAGACTCATGATCCTGCCTCCACTCCCTATGGAGAGGGGATTTTCTTTGTCTCCCATCTGCTCGGCTCTGTCTCTACCTCCTACCAGCTTGCTGGGTTCTTTCTCTATCTCCTCTTCACTCTGTACTTAATCTGTCACTATGGGAACCACCCACTCAAAGTCTCAGGGTCTCACACCTCTTGCTTGTCTTCTTAAATCCTTAAAACAACTAGGACTTTTGGATACAGTCAGGCCAAAACACCTGAAGTTCCTGTGCACCACTGCCTGGCCTCAGTATGAGTTAGATAATAACTCTGTTTGGCCAGATACCAGAACCTTAAACTTCAATATTTTGAGAGATTTAGAAAATTTCTGCCATTGTAAAGGCAAACAGTCCAAATTACCACACATCCAAGCTTCCTTTGATCTCTGTGCTAATCCCTCCCTCTGGGTCCCATGTTCTTCCCATTGGGTTCTTGTCGCTAAGACAGTTTCATGGGATCCCAACCCACCAGGGGCCTCCACCCCTCCTCCTCTTCCTCCCTACTCCTCCACCTTGGCTTTTGATCCTACCATAGCTGAGGAACAGCCTCCAATTAGGACCTATCCCCAACCTCCTCCTGCTCAACAGCCTGAGGCACAGCCAAGTCCCCCCTGTGCTCTCCCCTTGCTATACTCCCCCTTGCCTTCCATTCCAGGGCCCAACCTGGCTCCCCTCCTTTCTCCAACTCAAACTCCCTCTCCATGCCATGATCTTCCCATGACCTTCCCCCTCTCCAGTGCCACTCTAAGTTCATCACCTGCTCTCCTTCCACTGACTCTCCTCTACTTGAAAAAATCTAAAACCTTAAACACCTCCTTGCCAAATATTCCCTAGTCTCCCCTATTCTGGCTTCTAGCTCAAATAACCTGTTTATCCCTCCTGTATCTACTTCTACTTCAATTCTAGACCCTGCCTCCAATACCCCTGTCCCTGCATCCCCTCATGGACAGGACACCCCTCCCATCTCTCCCACTCTGGCCTCTTCCTGGGACTCCCCTTCTCCCAACCCCTTTCCTATGTTAAGCCATACTCACTCCCACACCCAGTCTCAACCCCCTGCCCATGGTATCTTCCCCCCTCAGGGAGGTGGCACACATGAACAGGATGGTCAAGGTCCATGTCCCTTTCTCTCTTGGAGATCTATCTCAACTCAAATGCAATATAGGCTCTTTTTCTACTAATCCTACACACTTCATACAAGATTTTAAATACATCACTCACACCTATGATCTAACCTGGACTGTCCTGATCCATGTGTTTTGAGATAGCCCTCACCACTTTGGACAAGCCCAGCCTGGAATTTAAGCTCCATAGACCTTAACCCCTCCACCATCCTACAATATGTAGACAACCTACTTCTTTGCTCCCCATCTCTCTCAGTCTCCAAGGCCCACACAATCAAATGCCTTAATTTTCTGGGGTACAAGGGATATAAGATATCTTCGACTAAGACTCACCTTTCTCTCCCTCAAGTCAAGTACTTGGGGTTCCTTCTCACACCTATATCCCACTGTTTAACTATAGAAAGGATAAATTACCTAAGGTCTTTAAACCCCCCCACAATCAAGGAGAAAATTCTCTTTCCTAGACATTGCAGGGTACCTCTGCACCTGGATTCTTAACTTTGCCCACTTTACAAAGCCGCTCCATGAAGCTTCCAAAGGGATCTCCCCTGAGTCTGTTGACCCCTTAGAGCCCATTACAACAAGCTTCCACAACTATAAACACTCTTAAAGTTACTGGTTCTACCACTCCCCAACCTCAAATGTTCATTCCTCTTTTATACAACTAAAAATAAGGACCAGGCATTAGGGGTTTTGGGACAGATGAGGGGTCCCACTTTTGCCCCAGTAGCTTATCTCTAAACAGCATAATACCACCATCTGGGACTGGCAACCTTGTCTCTGTGCTCTGGACACTACTGCTCTCCTGGCTCAAGAGGGACTTAAGCTCACTTTGGGTCAACCCATTTCTGTCCTTTCCTCCCACCAGCTTAAGTAACCCACACATCTCTTGCCAGTCTAGCTCCCTCTAAACTACAACTCTCCCATGTCATGTTTCTTTAAAACCCCCTTACCCATTCGTGATTCCTGCCCTCCTCTCAATCCAGCTTCCCTCCTCCCTTCCAGTGAACCTCTCACTCACTCGTTCTTGGAAACTCTCAGGAACTCTCCTACCAGGATTCCTTAATTTCCCAGATCCCCCACCAAACCCAACCCTGACTTGGTTTATGGATAGAAGTTTAACTCTCACCCCAACGGGGTCCCACAAGCCATAGTGTCTCTCACAGATGTCATTGAGTCAGGACCCCTACCACTTGGAACAATGTCACAAAAAGCCAAACCTGTGACACTCACCAGGGCCCTAATTTTAGCCAAGGATGACCTCTTCCTCCAGCATCCCTCCCCTCTACACAACTATTTACCTGCCTTCACCTTTCTAAGGAAACCACTCAGGGAACATGCTGACCAGATTATTCCCCAGGCTTCTAAAGGCCAAACTGACCACTCACTACAACCTGGAGGTCACACCTACCTGTAGGTTCACACCCAACAGAAAGGAGTGAAGGAAACCCTCCAGATGCCTTGGTCCTCACCTGGTGATCCTATCTACCCTGACTGCAGCCAAGCTCTCAGGGGAACTTGGTTGGATTCATTGCTCCAAATTAAAACTGGCCAAGGAACACAGCAAGTACCAGGCCACAAGTATCTGGTCTCTTAAATTAAAAATCTTGAACCCTACCTCAGCCATTCCCACCACACTTACTGTGTTTCTATAAATTTAAAATGAGATAAAGATAATATATAGATAACCTTCAAATTTCTAGGTTGCAGCTTAGTCAACTAGTCTAAGGATGTCTAGTCAAGGTTTATTTAAGGATGTTGCCCAAGCTCTATCTACATAGCACATGGTAATTAAAAGTACCAGACTGGTGTAACTAACCTTGTTGGATGTTTAATAACCAGACTCTAAGGCCTATATTTATCTGGTCAGAGGGAGTTAAAGGGACAAATTTTTGTTCCTTGCCCTCCAAGATCAAATAAGTTCCAGGGGCTATAGCTCATTTCTCGAAATGTCCTGTAACTTTGGTGAGTCACCTGTCCTCTTGTTCAGGGAGGCCATGGAGACCCCAGAAGATGGACTTGAACCAGTGTCCAATCTGCAAAGAGGAGGGTCAACACAGAGGAAACATTTCCTCCGTGCTTCCAAGAGAAGCCCTGGTCAAGCAGGACCTTTTGACTTCTCTTCACATAGATGGAACTGGTAAAAGAAAAGCCTGAGGAGCCAGAGGCTTCCCCCAAGCCCATGTGGCTCCTGAGGATCAAATCCTCATACGACCTTAAGAGTAAAAATAAATTGGTTTATTTGGGCCAACAGTATGGTCTTAAACACCCAAAAGGAAAATATAACCAAAATTAAAGTCATCAGTATATTTTAAAGGTTCAAGAGATTACATAACCCAGACATTAGACATAAGTTCTTAGGTCATTTAGACAATTATCTCTCATTGATGATTTTGTTCCTAATAAGACAATGCTGCTCAGATGTAAGACTTCAAATCTTGGTCTTCAATACTGTAGTGCCCACTTACAGCTAAGGGAGGCAACCCACTATTGTTCTAGCCTAAAAAATTAAATGATGACTAAATTTGTTTTCTCTCCCTATCTAGAAGTGTTTGAGAGGTAACTGACACTGATTCTAGCCGCTCCAACAGCTATCAAAATGCCTGAAAGCAAATACTGAGTCCATCTCTCTTGGGTTCAGCCTTGGCAGAAGAAAAATAAAAAGAAAAATGAGCTATTACCTTGGTGCTAACTATTGCTCCCTGCCTCTTCAGATATTTTCAGGACCAAATCCAAAAACTAACTCTTACTAATTTTAATCAGTTGTTACTTTCCTTCCCTCCACAGGTATACAAGTGCCTGTCAACCATCGAGGACCCTGTTGAGATGCATGAAGAGGGAACCCCTGCTGTCTGATCAACCCTAATCCTGCACCCCCCCACATCGACCCTGTCCAGCAGGAAGTAGCAAGACAACAATGGCCCCTATCCTATAACACAAAAGGCTGGAATGTTCAGGTTCAGATAGCCCTGCCCCCTCACCAACAGGGCCTCATGGACCTCACAAGCCCCTGAGAAAAGGGAACCAAGCTGATAAACACCCTGGTCTTTGAAGTCAAGAGAAGCAGACTTTTCTCCACTGTTTGGCCAACACAACAGGCTTCCCCTTTGATCTCTAAAGAGAACAGGTTTTAACAGTCCAATTCTCTCACTTCCCCTGCCCAACTTTAAAAAAAAATACATCTTCCCACCTTCTACAGGAAGCAGAAGCCTCCCCCTTTAAAAGACCCCAGCTTACGAACCACACAGACTTTTTCCCTGCCCAGAAGGGAATCTGTCCCATGTGCCCTTTGCTAATAAACTCTATTCTGATGGAGTTTTACCTGTGTCCTGGGTGCTTTCTCCTGATCAGCCCTATTTGTCATACAGCTACTTTAATTATCAGAATCATCCTCAGCTGCTCTTCTACCCTATTCATTCAGGCTAGGTCTCTTAATCAAACCCAGAGCTCACTGATAAGGCTAGATTTGTTAGCCAGCTCGCTCTGGGGATTCCCTGGCTTCAAGTTCCGGGGCTGGAGTTACAGATGGGTGTCAGGCTCACCTTACATTTACATGGACTTCTGGGGAGGGATCCAAATTCTGGCCCTCATGGCTGTGTGGTAAACATTTGACCTCTGAGCCGTCACCCCAGCCCCTATCTGTCTTGATGACATGTAGATCCCCTCCCCGAACCAGTCTCTCAGATTCTGCACTGTGAGCTGCCTATTCCTACCACGTGCTCATTTTCCTATGGGAGGCTGTTCAATTGTTTAACCCATAAAAGGTGACTTAGGTATCCATGTCTGTCAAATACATTCTGTCAGGGTTTGAGGAGTACTCTTTCATATCCAGAATCTTAAATTTTTTTCTCAAAGTCGGTATTTTCTTTTTCATCTTCTTTCTTACCCCCTCTCACATAAGCAGTGACCAGTGGCTTTCTAGTCTCCATACATGTGTTCAAGTCTTTAACTCCATTGATGATAGTGTGCAGTCCAGGGTCAGCCTATGTGCCTTCCTCCATGTGTTCTGACAAGAGCAGTCGGCCCCTGTCACTTTGTCTCTGAGTCTCAAGGGTCTCTTAGAGGCTGGCAGTCACTTTTTCTGCCAAGACCTTGCTTCTGTGTTGACACAGGTGTAGCTCTTCTCCCGACTTTGGGGTCCAAGAAGTGTAGTGTGTAAAACAGCAAGTGGGACAGAACCTTCCAGATCCCGCTGTACACGTAAAGGAAACAGATGCTTTGCTTCCAGCACTGTAAGATCCCAAGCAGCTGGGGGAGCATTAAGTTCTTTTGGAACTTGGCAGGTGTTTATTTCTAGTTTCTACCCTGTAGGGATGGCCAGGGAGCCATCCTTTCTTTGTGTGATTTTGGCTGAGCACTTTGACCTGGAATAAATGGTATGTAGGCTCAGTATCAAGGCTCTACTTCCAGTGAGCGCTGTGGCCTGTGCTCTCCCCACCGGTGCGGTTCTGGTTCTGGAAACTGCTCAATGAAGAGAAAGAGAAAAGCGATCCCTGCAGGCCCAGCTACTGCCTAGTACCCCAAACCTTCAAGAAGAACAAGGAACGCTTTAATCCAGGTGGGGACCCAGGGCACCCAGAACATCCCCAAAGATCGTTGTGAGTGAGAGGCTTTTCTCTGTCTCTGCCTCCTGCACTGCTTGTTTTTTATAGGCAGTGGGTGGAGTAGTGCTCCCAGTGGGTGGAGTAGAGGCCAAGAGCACTGTAGTGCTGGGGAGGTGGCTCAGTAGGTAAGAGCATTTGCAGTGCAAGCGTGAGGATTTGAGTTCAAATCCACAGATCCTATGTAAAAACCTCGGGCGTGACTGCACGTGTCCTTAACGTTGGTGTTGGGGGTGCAGAGACAGGGTTGGGGGTACCGCAAGCATCTTAGTGAAAGTGGTGAGCTTCAGGATCGGTGAGACACCCTGTCTCAAGAGAATCACCTAGGAAAGAAACCCTCTGGGCTTGTCTGTGAGGGAGTTTCTAGATTGGACTAATCGAGGTGAGATGACACACCCTCAACGTAGGTGGCAGACCCTATGAAAAGTAAAATGAGCTGAGCACCAGTATTCAACTCCCCATGCCCCCACCCCGTCCTACCCGGGATGCAAGGCGATCAGATGCCTAATGTCCCTGCCAGTGCCTTCCCACCAGGGTGGACTGTGCCCAGACCATGACCCAAACTAAATCCATCCCTTTGTCCTTAAGTTGTTTTTGTCCTGTATTTTGTCACAGCAATGAAAAAAGTAACCCATTCACGGTCTGGTGTGACTCTCCTTTGCCCAGGCATCCCTGGCTTCTCAGTCAGTCCTACCTCTTCCCCTTTCTAGCCGGGGGGCTGGGCTGCCTCCAGGGCTCATGGGTGTTAATTCCTGCCATCCTAAGTGTGAAGCACCTTCTACCTGCAGGCTGCCCCAGCTCTTCTCTACCTGTGCTCAGCTTCCAGCATGTGACCTGGCTGTTTTATTCAGAAGATTTATCATGGAAGTTCTCCCTTGAAATTAGTTATTCATAAGTTTGTAGTCTGTCTCCCCACTAGGAATGGAAGCCTCATGTGGGCAGAGACCACTCCTGCGTTGTTCACCGTGGTGTCCCCACCAGCCACGAATGTACCTGGTCCACTGTGGGCTCTCTACAAGTATTTATTGAACGAATGGATGATGGTGGTGTAAGGAGAACATGATTCACAAGTGCTGTGGAGGTCTGGAGCCATTGGGGCCAGTGCTTGGATATGTATTGGGCCCGGAAGGGATTGCCTCCCTGTTCTGTGGGCTTCCAGAAGAGCCAACTCCCACGCAGTGCCTGCCCCAGGAAGAGGCCTGGGCAATTCTTTGTATCCAGGACCTCATTCCTTCCGGCCGGGCCGCCTGGGCTCTTGGGTTGGCAGCATCAAAGGGACTGCTCGGTTACCCTTGGGAGACATGCTGTCAGTTCACATGATGCTTCAGCCAGAGTTGGGCCACAAGGAGCTCAAGCCAGGTGTCAGCTGAAGTCACAGGGGGCCAAGATGGGAAAGTGGTCTACACAAAGATGGAAAAAGACAGAATCAGGGAGGGGCAGGGGACAAGAGGTGCATTTGTGGGACAAAGGTGCAGGAGGGCAGGGGAGGGGAGGGGAAGGAAGGGAGGGCAGGGGAGGAAGGTGAGGGGAGGGGAGAGAGGGGAGGGGAGGGGAGGGGAGGAAGGAAGACATGAAGGCAGCAGTGGTTTGGCCTCGATCTCCTTCCATAAAACAGTCTCTGAGAAGGTACACGCCTGGTTTTGAATTCTGGCTTTACTTCTTACTGCCTGTGTGACATCAGAGAATTCCCTTAACCCCTCTGAGGATCTGTTATTTCAGTTGTGAAGTGGGGTATTTTTCACCTGGACTCTGGGGCCATGTGGTCTGAACTCTTATCTCTGTCCTGCCTCCTCCTCTGAAGACTTTGTGGGAAAATGTGGTCCAAGCAGGCATTCCGTGTATGGTAGATGCCCATGAGGGTGAGGTGCCAGCCCGTTTCCACTGCATCCCAATGTTGGCACAACCTCAGCCACAAAGTAGAGGTCATTCATAGACCACATCCTCAGATCCTCCGACCAGGTCACCTCTGCAAACTACAGGAGGCACTTTGCCAAGCCCAGGCCCCAGAGTGGATCCTGCCCTCCCTAGAGATCCACTAAGTACTTGAGTACCTGTCTCCCTCTGTGTGGTGCTCCAGGATGAAGGAACCCAGTGCTGGCTCAGGGCCACCTGGGCCTGTCCATCCTTTGCCTTCATTCTTTGGAACATTTCACCTGACAGTCATATATACTTTTGCTCTGAGAGGGTATTCCCCAGGAATCATGTATTGGAAACTGAGTTGCCAGCTCCACAGTGCTGAGAGGTGGGTCCTTTAAGAGGTGATTGGGTTGTGGGGCTCTGTAGTTTTCTTGGGAGGCAGGTTAGTGATCAGCCCGGTGAGTTCCTGAGGAAAGCTGTGGCCCCTCCCCCTCCCTCTGTGTTCCCTTGTCCCTCCACTTCCCCCATAGGATGGATGCTGTAGCCCTGGATCAACATAGGCCCTTCCACCTTGGATCTCTGGCCTCCAGCACTGTGAGAAGCAAGTCTGTTCTTTATAAAATATCCAGTTTCAGGTATTCTGTTACAGTAACATGAAAAGGACCAAGATGCAGACTATTCATTCAGCATTCTTATCCTATTAAAAATTGATAGAAGGAGGAGGAAGTATGGGGCGGGAGACAGAGAGAGAGGTGGGGAGAGAGACGAGAGAGAGTGAGAGAGAGAGAGAGAGAGAGAGAGATAGAGAGAGAGAGAGAGAGTGCAAAGCTTGCATTTTAAAATAATTTTAGATAACCTTGTTTGGCTCAAAATAGAGTATTCCTGGCAGGATGCTGACCCCCACGGACCTAATTACATTGAGGCACCTGGTCTGCAAAGCTGTTTTGTGTTCACTGGTCCTTGAGGTTGGTGACACTTGACTTCTATAGAGCCAAGATGCTCGAATCTCAGGGTTTCAAGTGACCTCATGAGTCCTTTCGCAGGAGCCGCTGGTCAACCTGCTGGGAAGATTCGTCTTCACAGGATGTGAGTCTGTCTCCCTAAAATAGAACGTCTGGGGCCTTTGTCCTCCAGGTCCAGCTATCAGTACCTACTACATACCACAGATGCTAAGGGGATCCACCGGGTTCATTTCCATGCTGTGTGTGTGAAGACAGGTGAAGCTGGGTGGCATCAATAGGTGTCAAAGAGACACAGTGCCTTATAGAGACAAAGACAAACCGCACCCCCAGCTCCTGACACTTGCAGGTGGCAGTGGACTTCAGCGTGCTCTGGGACTCGGGGTGAAGAAGGGACCTCAATGGGACTTTGTCATCCTGTGATGGAGGGAGAGAGCTCAATAGAGCCTCATGATAGCTC